AAAGCAACGTTATTGCAGACCATAGTTTTAAATTTCTTCTTTTTATACTAGGTACTCAAGGAATGTCTTGTGATGATACAATCTTCTATTTTTCAAACAAGAACCCCTTTTTACTGAATATTATTTATCGGGTGATGATTTTCTTGACAATTAGTATATATCTAAATTGTGATTTGAATGCATAGTTTTAGAGTTATTTAAATGTTTTATTAATRAATAATCATCAAAGAGGTTTTCACAAAAATTTAAACTATATTATGTTATACTAGATATTTAAATATAATATTTAGGTGTTGTATTTGGATCATTTTTACAAATTATTTTTATATTGGTAAATCAATAATACCTAATTACTAACATTTTTAAATCATCTAAACYGGCACATCTACTTAATACCCATTACCATAGACATATTAATATATTATTATCCTTAGGTTACACACAAAGTTTTATAACTCAAAAACTACTAATTTGATTTTTAATTTAAATACATGAAAATGTTCAAACAAAATAAATACATTTGATGAATAATTAAAAGTGAAAAAGGGTGGTTTCTATTTAAAAAAAATAGAAGTTTGTTTAGTCACAGAATCATTTTTAAGTGGTACTAAAAATCTCAAGTATTTGAAAATATGGTCTTCAAATATATTTAGAAATTTAAAAAATCAGAATATTTGCATTTTAAGCATAAAAATAGAATGATGATGCTAAAAAAATCAAAATGTATATATAACATATTATTAAGAATATTATTAAATCGAGCAAATAATACCAAAAATTATAGTATAATAAACATGTACCTATACTGTCTAGTGAAACGCCTATGTACCTACAACGGCTTACGCGTTAAGTTTAGGGTGAATTAAAATTTTAAAAATGTATTATTAACAATAAGGCAATAACTATAAAGTTATTATATATGATTACTATGGAACTATTTATTTTTTTTTGCCCGCTGTTAAAATCTCCATTCAAGTACGTATCTATATAGGCATAACACACCTTATGTCTGAAAATTATTAATCAACCGAAATTATTACCTAATTATTTTGAATATATTGTGCAAAAAATGTATAAATGAATATATTAATATAGGTAAGTACTGAGTAGTAAATAGTCAATTTATTAA